CCAGATTCTGCTTGAACCATATTAATGTCAGGGAACACTCTCCACTCCCCCACCCCCAATCTAATGCAGTTTACATCCTCTTTAGGAATCAAATTTTTTCTTTTTTTTTTTTTTTTGCTCTGATTTCCCCAAAGGGAAATATTACTCTGTAATTCACAGGACTCAGAATGTATTTTAAAATAATTACATTTGTAAAGAAGTGATATAAATATTAAAGAAGAAGTAAAAATTGAATTTGAAAGTAACTCTTAAAATTGGAGAGAAAAAATATCATGAATGAGAGACCAAAGAAGAGAGAGGGTAATCTAACTAGAAAAGACATAATGGCACAAGTACAGAAAAGTGAATAATGGTAGCTTTTACCTGAGAAGTACAGAAAGGTAATCCATAGAAAGGTAGCAACTGAATATTACGATTTTGAATAGAGGAAAAGATAACAAAGGATCAACATTGAAGTTTGTACTATTAATTTTATAAAAGAGAAATTCTGTCTCTGGATAGGTGTAACATAGTTATTTATGTCCACTCTTCATGTATTTGGAAGACTCAGGAAACAAAAATAGCCAAACCATCTTTATGGATATGATATATAAGCTTATAAAAAGCATTTCAGAAACCCCAGAAATGGAATGGGTGGTTACAAGAGAGGGTGAAGATAAGAAGATAATTATGTATTCATTCGGCATGTTTTAATAAGTTTTATCTCTTCCTCCACATCTCTTTTCTCCTGATTTCTTTTCCTTACAACGCCTCAAATATTTAAGAATAAAGAGAATAATTGATGAAAGGCTTTGCCAGGACTGGTCAGAGAAACACTGTAGCTCTTTTTATTTTTTCCCTACCTCATATCATTAATGACAAAAACAAAATAAAGGAAAAACAACAAAAAAAGGAAGACAAAATAATTTGTCATCTAACATATCTAGAAATTCCAAAATGCATGTGAAATTCAAAAGTCCTTTCCATGTAACTATTTTTCTGTATCATTATTATTTAACTTAAATAGAGTTCTTAGGAATGATTAGCCATCAACTTGAGGACAATCTATGAAACTAGAAAGAGATAAATCAGTAGAAATAATCTTGCTTACCCTTTCCCTGGTTTTGAGTCTTTCCTGATGATTTCCTGAGAGTGCTTGAACAATTAACCCAAAAATCCATTTTCATCAAGTCGATTCTGGCTCATAATGACACTATAAAGCAAAGTAGAATTGCTCCATAGGGTTTCCAAGGCTGTAAATCTTTATAGAACAGACTGCAACATCTTTCTCCCATGAAGCTGTTTGTGGGTTTGAACCACTGACCTTTTGGTTAGCATCTGAATGCTTTAACCACTATGCCAGCAGAGTTCCTTTGAACAAGTAAAGAGTGTTAAAAATATAAGTAAATAAATATATAAAAAGGGGAACTCTTAGGATCAGAAATATGTATTACTTTTTTTTTTTTTTTTAATAATTATGGAGGAATTAGAAAGGTAGCTAGTTCCTAAATTCCTTCTTTTGCTCTGAGGAATAAGTAGGTGTATTATCTTATTTTCTACTACAAAACTTCTCTCTAGTCTGAGCAAAATAATTGAGACAGTAACATCAACCTATACTGCTTGCAGGACATGCAGACTTTCCTTCTGAGAGAAAATAAAGGCTGACTCAATGTTGAGGTTTTATAACCCACATTTGTAATATGGTATCATTCCTCTATTTTTGCAACATTCCATTGCTTGGTATCCATTAGGTGTCTTCACATTCCCAATTCTTCCTCACCTACATCAAATTTACCAGAAAACAGTTCATTTTTTGAGATTCCTACTATAAGTTATAAAGAGTGCTGAATAAACATCTGGTAAAATAAAGATTCCTAAAAATTATTAACAAGTACTAATAATTACTCCTGCCAGGTAGCTCAGATTTCCAGAAAGCTCTTATAGATATTATAATGATATTATGATAATAGTTGAAGTTCTGTGGACCAGGACTAGTACTAAATTCCTTACAGACATTATTTTAATCTTCACAACTATTCTACATGATCAATTTTTATTACTGCTGTTTCACAGATGAGGAAACCAGAGTTAGTTAATTTGAAAAACTTGCTCAAGGTCAAACTACCAAATTTTAGAGGACAGAATTTAAAGTCAGGCCGATTTCAATTCTAAAACCCATGCTTTTTAATAGTATATTTCTTCTCAAGTATTTACCTGGGAAATATTTTCAGTTGGTTACTTAGATGGGAAAAATTTACTTTACATCATGAGAATCATTGCTAAGTAATGGTGCCACAGAAAGGTTTTAATGACATTAACCAGCATTTTTCAATTTATTCTTTAAATTTCACCTCTCTTAGATGATACATTATTTCAAGACATGTGGCAGAATAGAGATTGTATTGTGGATCACCGTTATATTTATATAACTGACTCAAGATCAGTTTATCATTACCAATATTTATTAAGAGCTTACTATAGGCCAGGCATATAGCAGAGAACAAAAAATGGAGAAATATAATTACAGAGTTTTGTTCAACAATATTGCTCTTCAATAAATGACTGAGTAAAATTATTATGCAGACAGTAACCTAACAAATGCTCTAATAATGTGTGTCTCTAACTGACCTTTATGAAATATCATTCATTTTTTACTGTAAGAACTTTAGAGAGTATTATCAGGGAAATAATTTATACCTTAATGGTTTAAGACTAACATATAGCAATTTTCTCTTAAATTCCTTTTAATCTTTTCATAATGTCATTCTCTTATTCTCATAAAAATTGTCTGAATGCATATATTATGATAAATTTTCTTCCTTTTTGAAAAATATTTCTTTCATTTTTCATCTACAATTTTTAACACTCTGAAATATTCAACTCAATCATTGACTTTGGATGATGCTTTATGTGAACGTAGTGAATTTCTCTGTTCTGATCAAGAATATACATTGTATTTCAATGTGGCTTTTAGACATGAAAAATGCCATGTGTTCTTTCTGAAAAATGAATGTGATCTATATGACTGTATTTCTTTATTTTCATTTATTTTAAAATGTGGATTATTCTTACCATTAGTTTAAAGTTAACACCAAGAAGTATAAGTTCAGTATTATAAATTATAAATTAATGAAAGTTTACTTGCCTTTACTGTAGTTATAATTACATTTCCAAATAATAAAATTTGCTACCATCAATTGGATATGGCTTGTGTTATTTTTACTGTTAGTGTTACTTTAACTATTGTGTTGATCTACATGCACCTTTTTTACCTTGGGACCAATTGTAAAGACACTGGTAAGGATTGGGGGCGTTTCCCATACCTCTGCAAAGAGCAAAACCCCATGAAGAAGAAAGCCATCTACACTAAGCAACTGATCTGATATTATAAATGTGAATGTATTTATTTTCACCTAGAAGAGAAAAAGTGGTATTTAGTATTATTTAAAAAATAAACAGACAAACATAAACCACTGCCATTAATTCAATTCCAACTCATAGCGACTATCATTGGGTTTCCAGGGCTGTAAATCTTTATGCAAGCAGATTACCTCATCTTCCTCTGGTGGAACAGCTGGTGGTTTTGAACCACAAACCTTCTGGTTAGCAGCCGAATGCCTTACCCACTATGCCACCACAGCTCCTTTAGTATTATCTTCAGTATGAAATAATAAAGATGCCACTTTACCAAAAGTTTGGATTAATCATTACATTCAGCATTCAGTATGGGGATGGACTCCTTTCTGATGCCAAAGAAAACAAACTGTAATATCTATCCTGGGACCTATTAACTGAGAGACTTCTTTAGTATTGTAAACCATATATGTCACTTTGCCACTTAATTTTTTCAAAATGAGAAATTGTAATGCTTAGTTATTGTATGCCATTCTCACGGCATTTCCTAATTTCTATTAATGGTTATTTGTTTACATTTCATACTTTTAGAGGCAGAAAACTCTTTGAAGCAAAAAAGTTGTGTTTCATATACTTTTTTATCTCTACCACCCAGAACAGTGCTTTCAATTTTGTGGATAAATGAATAATGTTGGTACTTAGTTCTGATGCATCTATAAAAACCCATTTTAATGTTGTTTTGGGTTCTGCAGTAATAATTCTTCTGTCCTGTTGTTGTTGTTATGTGCCGTCGAGTCGGCCCCGACTCATAGCGACCCCTCCTTGGGTTTCCGAGGCAGTATCACTACAGAAGTAGGATTGCCCAACCTTCCTTCCGAAGAGTGGCTGGTGGGTTTGAACCGCCAGCCGTCTGGTTAGCAGGCAAGTGTCTTAGCCACTATGCTACCAGAGCTCCCTCTTCTGTCCTAAGACTCTTAATTTCTTATTTTCACAGTATTCCTATGTATATTTGTGTGTGTATGTGTGTTAGCAGTTGTTTTCTACATTTTCTATAAGTAGAAACATCTTTTTAAAAATATTTATTCCTATTCCTGTAAACATCAAAGTGACTCATAAAATTTCAAACATTTCTTCTGCAAGTAAAATAAATTACACAAACATTTAGGGTTATATGAAAGTAGCTGTTCCATTTTGAAGAGGCGAAATGAAACATTTAGTTAACTGGACATTCTCAGATATGGACTGCACTGTGGTCCATATCTGCATCTTTGGTTCATGCACTCATTAAGCATTCATTAAATCTCACTATGCTAGAATCTGTATTAGGACATTGTGATGCTAATTGTACTTTATGTCAAAGATTCAAAAACTCAATGCTGTTTTCAAATGGCAGCATTTTTAAAGTATTTTTTTTTTTTTATGCACAGCATTTTAAATGTATTCACCACTTTTCTTACAAAGACAGGTCTTAAAATAAATCAGTAAAAACCATAAATTCAAGGTTATGTCATCACTTCTTATAGCTAATCTTTAAAAGGAATGTGACAACACTGATTATATTGTATAAATGTTCTTTAGCTTGCAAGAAGGACATTTTTGTGCTGTAATATGTATTTAATTCACTAGTCGGGAAACTCCTTGATTTATTACCCCAATTTTCATTTCAGGCCCTCCAGGCCCTCCAGGTGGTCTGAGAATAGAAGACATTAAAGCCACTTCTGTGGCACTTACTTGGAGTCGTGGTTCAGACAACCATAGCCCTATCTCTAAATACACTATCCAGACCAAGACTATTCTTTCAGATGACTGGAAGGATGCAAAGACAGGTAAGTTTTATTTTTATGATTAATCTATTCATGTTTTCAAAATAAACTCTTTTATTGAAAACAAAAACACAAACCTAGAATTTAGAATTTTATCACCTACCCTGAAATACTCTCTTTTTCTTTATTTTTAATATTTCTGTTCTTTGGCAGTGAACACAACATACAAACACACACACACACACACACACATATTTTAAAGTTATAGTGGAAGAAGCAGCATGCCTAAATCTATAATTGGAAATCAAAGAGAAGACTTCTGATTTCCTTATTTGACCTATTGTAACAATAAGTCAGACTTCTTAGAGGAAAAAAAAAGTGAATTTTTTTTTTGTTGTTGTTGTTGTTATATGACATTTATAACTTCTTACTTAGAACTCATTTTATCCAATTATATATTCTAGGAGTTCTGGTGGCACAATGCTTAAGACATTTGACTGCTAACCAGAAGGTTGGCAGTTCAAACCCACCAGCTTCTCCATGGAAGGAAGATTTGCCTCCTCAGAAACTCAATGGGGGTTGTTATGAGTTGTAATCAACTTGTTGGCAGTGGGTTTGGTTTGGTTTTGGTATACAGATACTATTGTTCTATATTTTAAAAATGGTGGCGTAGGGCCTAAGGCATTTGACTACTAACCAGAAGGCTGGTGGTTCAAAGCCACCAGCTACTCCTCAGAAGAAAGGTTGGGTGATCTACTTCCATAGTGATACTGCCTCAGAAACCCAAGGAAGGGTCGCTATGAGTCAGGTCCGACTTGGTAGCAGTGATTTTTTCTTTTTTTTATATATT